CCGAAAACAAAGGGTACCTTATTTTGGGGTCCTTACAATAAGGATCCTATTATTTAGGGTACTATATTAGGGTCCCCTATTTTCGGAAACCCCCAGCTAGGTGATTCTTTGTTAAATCTTCGCAGCCATGGATCGTGCCTGCTTCAGCCTCGTTGGCCTCGCATGCATGGTACTCGGGCACGCCACCCGCCAACCCTGTGGTAGCACGAAGGATTCGTACTTGGGACAAGGTAGCTCGAAAGCTCAAGCCAAACCCCCAAACCGAGAAGCCCCCTTAGACCCCTAAGTCCCTAAACCCCTAAGCGGTAGACGACCCGACACCCCAAAGATGCAAACTCCGCAGGATGATTTCATCCTCCGAGCACGGGAGCGAATTCAGGTGCAAAGAGGGCAAGTCATTTTGGGTTTAGGGTTTCGCGTTTGGGGTCGATTTCAGTGTTTTGGGCAAAGGGTTGGTGGGGCAGGTGTTGGGTGTGGTGCGGCATGCCGGAAGCATGTCGGTGGGGGGTGGCGACACGCGGGCATGCTCGCGATAGGGGAGCCGGGGGTGCGGGGCGGGCGGGGCGGGGTTTGAAGTCTAGGGTTTTGGGTTGATCGAGGGTTCCGGAGCAGTTGGTTTCTTCACTGAACCCGCTGGCTGCAGCATTGACAAGAACGAAGGCTGCGACTGTGACTACGACTGCTATGCCGACGGCTGCTGCTACTGCTACTGCTACTCCTACTGCTACTGCTGTGCTCCGGTTACTGCAGCTGCTCCTGCTGCTCCTGCTCCTGCTCCTGCTCCTGCGCCTGCGTCTGCGTCTGCTCCTGCTCCTGCTCCTCCTCCTGTTCCTGCTTTGCTGCTGCTCACTACCACTGAAACTATTGTTCTGTTGTTGCAGTTGTTGTTTCGTACTGGTGCCATGCATGTTCTTCATAGTCAGTGCTCTTCCTTATTGGTACAAGTGGTAGTAGAGGTAAGATGTGGTGGTAGTAGTAGTAGTAGTAGTAGTAGCAGTAGTAGTAGTAGCAGTGGTAGTGGTAGTGGTAGTGGTAGTGGAAGTGGTAGTGGTAGTGGTAGTGGTAGTGGTATCTGTTTCACCCCGGTGTGAGTTACTTGTGACGACTCGATGATGATAATACTCATCTCTATTGTGCGTCGTCTTGGGATCCTGGGGATACGGCCAAACCTAAACGTTCATCAGTCCTTCGGCTTGGGCGTCTGTCGCCGGCCAGGCCTAAGCCACGACATGTAAACCCACATTGCAACTTAAGCAGTAGCCCGTAATATAGTTTTCGATGTTGGATCCCAGAATTCATTGCGGTGGCCTGGAGTCTTCAGACGCACTCACAAATAATGCAAAGCAGCAATATTCTTTATAGGCTTTATGCGATGTTTCAGTATCAGAGTACCAGAGTTGATGATACGTTTACCCGCAACGCTAATTCAATACTGATGGTAGCGCGACTGACACGAGTTTCTCTCACCATAATGGGAACTTGCGAGGGCAGTAGTGAGAACAGAACTATGTGCATACATCAGCCTTAAAGGATATGACAGTATGGGGGTTTCCGAAAATAGGGGACCCTGATATAGTACCCTAAATAATAGGATCCCTATTATACGGACCCCAAACTATAAGGTAAACCCTAATTTAGAGAACTACCCATATAACAGTATTGATCCGTGACAAGAACGGCTCGAACCGAACTTTCCGGAACAAGCCTGGTCTCTTACCAGGCTGGCGATGAGATCACAGTGTCGTACCTCTCTGAGGCCACCCTTAAAAGGGAATACTTCTTCGTCTGTCTGGTGCTTAGTAGGGAATTGGGGAATGGATCCCTATGATAGTCCCCCATTCCCTACTAAGCACCAGACAGTTGTGTTGCTTCCGGGCAGCATCGGTCCCGAATTTCCGGTAAAAAGTGGGATCCTAAGCCTTCGAAAGCCTAAGGCCCATGAGCCCAAAGCCCCAAAGCCCTTCACCCAAAGCCTAAACCCTAAACCCTAAACCCTAAACCCTAAACCCTAAATCCTAAACCCTAAACCCTAAACCCTAAACCCTAGGGGACCCTAAGACCTGAAGGCCCACCAAGCCCTGCACTCAAGGATCCTGCTGTAGAGATCTGACGAAAGAGTCAGACTATCCCCTTATACTCCCCGTATAGATATTCGGGCTTTAGGGCTTTGGGGTTTAGGGCTTTGTGGTTTAGGGGTTAGGGTTTGAGGGATACACCAAGAGAGAAACCACAAAAGCCCGTGCTGCTGACGGAGGTCCATATATCAGAACCCTTTATCTGAACCCTGAATCGACCTCCTGGTCATGGCGGATCTTGACAGGGATTCTATACCGCTACACCCTAACCCCACAGGACGCTACACGCAGACTGTTTTCTGTTTGTGGAGCATATTCCGTACTTAGCTTGGGTACGACATTTGTCGGGTTCGTTTTTGGTATTGGGGGTTTGGGCCGAAAGCTTTTGAGGTTTCGGGTGCAGGATTCGCGGTTTTGGTTTGATGCTTTTGCCCGAAGCCATGCGACAGGATGTGCTACTCGACGCCACGGTCGCGCGGCGAAAGCACTTGAAGGACCTCGCGAGACAAGCCCAGGCCCTAACCTAAACCCTAAGCCCTAAACCCGAAACCCTAAACCCTCAGGCCGCAACCTTCAAAGACCAAAGCAGAGCGCCCAGAAGTCCCTTACCACCGTGTCCCTCCGCCTCACGAGTCTAGCAGGAACATACATGACTCACCCTGGTCCCCAGAGAGCCCAATACCCCTTAATTAAGGAATATACCTTAAATTATAAGGGACTTCTTGTTATGATTTAAGCTCTATTCCTTAATTAAGGGGTATGGGGCTCTCTGGGTCCTGGTGTGCTTCAAAGCTCAAGGCCAGAAAGAAATCCTAAACCCCCATTCCTGAAGCCCGCTCGTCGCAATCTCACCAACAAAGCACACCGTTGCAGAATCCCTCACGAAGCCCCCTTGGGCCGCGCCATAACGCCTTCAACACTAGATCTTTATCCCTAATTAAACCTGAAACCCGAAGTTTACAGAGGACTCCAAGCATTTCATTTGCCGCTGCCCTCGCTGCAGTGATCCTTGCGACCCGTGCCGTGGGTTCAGGCAGGAAAGGGCTTAGGGTCTGTCTATACCGATAAGCTGAAGTAGTAAGTGGTAGCAGCCGCCTTGGTATTGGTGGAACCAATTAAACGTAGTGTTGGCTGAGTACAAGAGCAACGACCAAAAATAGCATGGCACCAAGCAGTGGCGATGACTCTGATGATCAGAGCATTTATAACAATGATGAGGATGCTTCTGATGGTGATGATGTTCCTAGCAGTGACAATGGCAGTGATGCTGTTGACGACGACGAGGAGGATGATGATGATACTGCCGGTGATATTGTGGAGCGATCTGTCGCTCACTATGGTTTGGTTTTCACGGCTAACCCCAATCCTAAACCCCATACCCTGGGCCCGAAACCCTAAACCCTAAACCCTAAAACCCTAACCCTAAACTCTGAACCCCAAAACCCCAAGCCCCAAACCCTAGACGCTAAACCTTGAGCCCTAAACCCCAAACCCGACCCTCGACTTGCATGGAGGTGTCCGAGCTGTTCGAGCATCTCCCTGAAATTCGGGGCTCCGCAGGGAGACGAGGCCCCACGGCCGACACAGCAGAAAAAGAGGATGCTTTGGGTTCTCTTGGGGGTTTGCAGAGATTACGCACCCGAAGGTTTGCAACGAGGTTGAGGGAGGTTGATGGTCCGGATTCTGCTAGGATCTTTGGTTCAGGAGGCGACATCCCTATACTGCCCGTAGTCTCGAGGGTTTGGAATCTTGACTCCGAGTTTGAGATCGGCGTCTTTGAGCCTGCCTCCCCTAAACCTAAAACCGGTAGAACGGTTCAGGACTACGTTGGCGCGACGGCTATGTTCGGTCGGCGTTGCGAGCATTGCGCCAGCCTGAGAACCTCCTGGGGCTCCGAAACCAGGCCAGGGGCCCCTGTATTAGTACTAAAGGGCTTGGCGGGGGTTCATTTAAAGGGTTTGGGCCCGAGCGGTCAGGGTGAATGAAGCCAAGGCCTAATCAGCCTAATCCGACTCTCATGAAGCCAGGGAATTATACACGGTTTAGGGTCTACCGTTTAGGGTTGACGTTTAGGGTCTAATTTAGACAGTAAAGTCCATAGGATACTGCCGATAGCCACAAACGCAAAGCAACAGACATCGCAATAGTAGTCGTGATATGGAGACTCTGCATGGCACCGCCGTCGTCGTGGTAAGCAACAAGCATAGCTTTGGCGGATAGAATCGCATGGAAGAAGCAACCTTGCATCTGTATTACCCATCCGAGTTTGCCTGATCGCTTGGCATGGGGACCTGTGATGCAGACAGCTATCGACCAGCTTTCGCGCGGTG